TGCATGCATACAACACGTCCTTGAAATGTACACAAAATTATCAGTGGCAGCTAGTGAGCTAGCCGCACGCTCTGTAAAACACAAACACGCAGGCAGGAAAGAAAGGCAATTTCCAGCATGTCTCTCGCTCTCTCCTGCAGATACATGGAACTCCTTCACATAATGGTTGCCAGAGAAGTCCACCCAAAATTGCCAAAACTCCCTCAACTTTGAAAGAACAAATATAACATTACCAAGAAATTCCTATCCCCATATATTGTACCTCAGTGCATGGGATTTATCCAGTGTAGATCAACTGGGAGACACCATAAAGGTATGCAAACAAAATACACCACTAAGGGACTAATTAGTACGTACACCACTGTAGAACTGTCATAACTGGAAAAACAATTCCATCACACCACTTCTAGCATTATAAAAATACATAATTCTCAGAGGCAGATGTGAATAAAATGAAACAGAAAAGGAAGTAATTTCATTTTCAGGAATACAAGGAGTGGAGGCCACTCCTAAATCCACACTTCATTTAAGAATCTTCATTTAATCTTCATTTAAGTGATGGATCTCTGTATTGAAGTATGCCTTCCTGTGAGCAACAGATTCCAATGCTTTTGCCTCAGAGCCATGTTTTGGCATGAAAGCCACCTTAAATTATGTTTCAGATGGTTGGTTAGATAATTGTGCGATAATCGTATTGATTGATTAGGCTACGCAGAAAAAAAATCACCTTGTCTTGAAAGCAACAGAGTGTTTAATATTTGTTATTGATTGTTTACACTTCTTACACTTCATTTTCGTGCCAAGTATTTTGAGTGATGGACTTAATTTAAACGTGCGTAGTATTTATATGCGAGTATTTTGGCTGAGCGGCTTATTCCACCGTGTTATTTCACATTAAAAAAATGTTCAATGTAGGACTGAACAAACACTTTGCCAGCACTTTGATTTAGTGGATTTTAATTGCAAATGCATTTTCATTTGTCCCCGATCTGGTCTCAGTCCCTTACCACAGTGTTTCTGAATGCTGATCCTGCTGGGCCTCAGTATCACCTCCTTCATTCAGGCAAAAGGAAGATGGCTGAACTTCCCCAATTAAGCAATTAACCGACCCGATTAGGTGATTAAGCACCAATTATGGCGAAATGCAAACCAGAAACCCTGCTTCCCTGCAGCACCACAGCTGAACACTTCATGCAGACAAAAAAAATTCAATAGACTACGAGCCGCAGGAAGTGCATTATTGATAATACACGGCCTTTCGGTTCTGTTTTTAGCACATCGCTTGGAGTATATCTCTATATTTGACACTGTGCAATAAATTTCACCAGTTATAACATCCTAATGAGGGCAAAATTCTGGCGCCACAGAACAGAGTTAAACAATTTACTGATTAATTTGGTTTAATGGCATTAAAGTGAGGGGTCTGTGTTACAGCTGAAATATGAAGCACTTGTAAGAAAAATGGTTCTACAGAAACAAAAGAGGAAATAAATATCTGAGAAAATGAAACCCATTGAAAGTATCTGTTCGGATGTGTTTAGCGGACACAGAGCAGAACCTGCTACAGCTTTCACATTCTGGGTATGTTTGTCTCACTGCCACTAATTCATTTTCTTGGTTAAGAAATCCATCTTTCTTTGTTTGGATTCTGCATTCTTTTCGTAGCATGTGTTATTGTGTGGGATTGACCCTTAACACATCACGTCAGTGTATATCGCAACTTTGAGCAGAGCAAAACTCTCATACAACAATTATGACTAGCTGGCTACAATCTGAGGTCATGATAGTGAAATCACTGTATATACAAGCAGGGTTCAATTCCAGAGCTAAAGCCATTAATTCTGTCTTTGAATAGAGAGTTAACTAAGTGAGTGTTACTTTTGCAAATAACATGATGTCAGTGAATAGTTAACAAAAAATGTGTAAATAAAAAACGTTAGCCCCTGCTCAGCTTTTATCCTCAAAGTTAAGAACAAAGCATTTTTGCAGAAAGACTTTGGAAACAGGTCAGCCTAATCTAAGGAAGCTACAGTACAGTATCCTGAGGGTGCAGTGCTTCCTCCTATGGCTTGGTCACCTACCTCGCCCTGGCCATTCCGTTCCAGCACTTGTCCTCATTGGCTGCTCCTGCTGTCACCTTGTCGTTGCAGAGTGCATTGGGCAGCTGTACCCAGTACTGCTGCATCTCCCTTAGCTTGCTTGTCACATCAGAGACCTGGGAGAGACCAGCCACACATAATATCAATTACACTGTTCAAAAAGACCTGGGTGAAACAGTGAGATCTGGGGGAGACCAATCACACACCCACCATCACATTGTAAAATTATGCTTCATTTTTTTTTTAACCCATTTCAGATTCCTCATGAGAGGCTGAGAATAACAAGTTTGGATGCACTTTGGATATCATTGTACAACAATATGCATCATCTAAGAATACATGCCCATGATATTAATATTAACTGTAAGACTGGCAAAAACATGAAATAATTTTAATAAACCTTATAGCACCTGGGCCCACAACAGACTGATGAAGTGTGAAGTAGTGGTTTGGAGACTGATCCCTGCATCAGATAGCTGTGGGTTTGCATTTTGAGCATGACTCTGCTGTCTATCTTTGCCCAAGGTACTTCACCTCATCTACTCCAGCATAATTGTGAATGGATCGCAGGCCACTCTAATGATCTGGGTGCTTAAATCAAAGTCGTCCTGCATACAGGCGTCTGCTAAACATATAAATAAATAATTAATGAAATTATGTTTAAAAAAAAAAAACATCTGTGCTATGTCACCATGCCAACGTGCACAGACAGGCCACAGGCAGCAGTCCTCTTCAGTGCTCTCCCTCTCATATTTAATGGCCTCAGCAATTTTCCTGATTAGACACGCGCTGCTTTAATGCAGCTCATTACCCGGCCGCCTCTCCGAGGAGGGGGGGTCTGTCTGCAGTGAGGAGGTGTTCGCTCGCGGGCGCGGGTGTTGCACTAGGGGTGCGTTTCATTTGCCCGGGTCAGCAGAGGTGAAGTGGGTACTGACCAGTTTCTCCAGCCGCACGCTGGAAGTCGGGCTGGGTTTGGCCTCCACCACCGCATTGGGCCGCTTCCTTGTGTCCTCGGGGCTGCGGGTTCCAGCCTCCCTGGGGTTCCCACACGCCTGGAACACCTGTGGGACACGGGGTTGGGGGGTTGGGGGAGGACAGCGCTGGATCAGACAGGCTGGTGCAGGAACACTGTCCCGCCATCGGTCACCCTCTGTCGGGTCACACGTTGCAGCTGCTGGTAGGCAAAGCACCCCCCAGCCAAGCCAGCAGCTGCCTGACACCAAAAAGCAAACACAAGCAAACACAACCCACAACAGATAGATTCAGACGCATCATCTGATATTACAGTTTCTAATTCCCTATATTCACATAATGTATTTTATGGTGGACATTGGAGTGCTTCAGCATTGTAGCCTTTGCTGCAGTACACCTTCCAACACAGTAAGGTCCTGATGGTGAATGCCTCTACATTACATTACTGCCACTTAGCAGACACTCTCATCCAGAGCAACTTACAAGAACACCTTAACACTATGAACTCTTTTGCCCTTCAGTCTTAAAACATTACATAATGGCAGTAATGAACCCATAATCTGATTTGCCATGATCCCAGGAACCACACCCCCAGCACTGGGGCCAACTGAGGTCGACACAGCCCACCCTGGGGTACACCATCCGAAGTCCATCATTGCCATCTATACAACAGAAATGCTTGGGCTAACACATAACGTTCTCTTAATGTTGCTGTAATGGTACACCAAAGTTATGGAACCACTGCAACCTGCCAAACATATTTACAGAAACATAAATGTCTTAGCTGGGGTGTTCCCTGGCTACAGCAGAAACGGTTAGTCTGGAGCTAGTTACCACACTGTCTTCTCTTTGTTTTGCCAGCTCACATATAAAGGAACAATGAGTTTTTTGTTTTGCCCTACAATATAGACAATATGAAATGTTTCTGCCTCTTCACAAAACATTGCGTGAGTTCCCTTGTTAACCCACAAACAAAGAAGATATTGTTTTACACCTGCAAGTGCGAATGTTGGCAACCCCCCTGTGATTTCAGGTGCACTCTACCTGGCTGTCAGCAGTGGAGAGATCCGTTTTGATTTATTGTCTGTGTGGGTGTGTGTGGGGTGTGTGTGTGTGTGTGTGTGTGTGTGTGTGCGTGTGCTTGTGCGCGTATGTCCAAGAGGGCTCTCCTGGAGGAACAGGCTCCAAAGGACAGAGTGTGCAGTCCACCCCATTAATTCACACAGCTGTGAGAGGCATTTCACTGCTCCTACACCTTATAAACAAGGCAATCAAACAGCTTTTCCACCAGCAATGTTAAACCTTTTAAAGGGAAAATCAAGCGCGATCAATTTTATGTTACTGAAACCATCAAAAGGATGAATTTTAATGTCAGAAGTAAAGGGACTAAAATCCCAGACTCCCAAGCCCTGGCATTGTAGAGGTTTGCTTTGGCAATTAGGCAGTAGTGACTGTATTGGCAGTCCATTGTGTACAGTCCTATCTACAGAATAATGTCAATGGAATCCTCCCTGTAAACGTGTCCTTAGGAAGTAGCATGATGTGTGTGCGCCTGTGTGTGTGTGTGTGTGTGTGTGTGTGCATGTGTGAATGCATACATGATGACACTCAACAAGAAAAGGAAAACACTTTGTGTTTCACCTCTGGCAAAAACTCACCTTGCTGGTGAAGACCATGATGTTCTCCTGCAGGGTAAAAATGGCCTCAGAGATGCGCAGGGGGATGGAGTAGATGACCACATCCACGCTGGCGTCCCCGCTGAAGCGGCTTGTCACCTGCAGCAAGGCATCTGGACCACACAGGGAGAGAGACGCAATACCATGACACCAGATCCTAGCCACCAGCAACAGTCATTCCTTGCAGCTTGGATGCAACGTGTAGGTACATTCTGCTGCTCAAACTGCATGCTGTGTACTCCAGTACAGGTACTGCAGTGTGGCATAGTGGTAAGGAGCTGGGCTAGCAACCAAAAGGTTGCAGGTTCAATTCCCTGCTGGGGCAGTGCTGCTGTACCCTTGGGCAAGGTGTTTAACCCAGTTGAATATCCAGCCGTATAAACGGGTAATGTAAAATTGTAACCTATGTAAATCACTCTGAATACGAGCGTCTGCTATATAACTGTAATGTAGCGTAATGTACTTTCAATCAAGGCCAGTTTAGCTCAGGCCCATCTGGCTCCACTCACCGACGAGGTTCTGCCACTCGGTGTCCAGGTCGGCCTGGTTGGCCAGGCAGCCCTTCATCACGTTCCTGCAGTAGTTGGTGCAGGGCTTGATGGAGGCCATCATGCGGCAGTGAGGGCAGTACATGAGCTTCATGATGGCGCGGGTGCACTCAGGGCTGAGGGGAACCTGGGGAGGGGGAGGGCCAGAACACCTTCAGACGGGTCTTACGGCTAAAACATTACATTACATTACATTCAAAGCCCGACAGTGCACAGCTTACACAGTTTCAAAGGGTTACTGGTTTACAATTTACCAAGCTGATGTAATTGAAGGTCTCAGGAAAACGTTACCCAGTATCTGACAGCGAAATCCAGGATTAATGGGTTGGTTAGACATACAGCACTAGTTGAAAGTTTGGAGACACCTTATTAAGATAATGGGAAAAATGCAGTCAAAGACATTCTGATCTAAAGACTTATCCTTAAATGCTTGAAATAATAAATAGTGAAGTTGATGCCTATGTATGATTTTCTTTCATATTTTATTTTTTGGTTACTTTGAATATTCTAAAATATAAGATTTTTTTGGTCACTGCATAATTCCATTTGTATTATTTCATAGTTTTGATGTCTTTACTATCATTCTAAAATGTGGAAAGTAAATAAAGAAAAACCCTTCTATGAGTAGGTGTGTCCAAACTTTTGACTGGTACTATAGCAAGTGCACATCAGCCAATGTTCCATATGAGGACGACTGTTAAAACGCTTAACTCAAGGCTGATTGTTTATTTTTTAAAATTTTCTCAGAACAGCCCAAGATGTCCTCTAAAAAGGACAATTTCTTGCCTTGCCCTGTTCCTGTGAAAGACAGCATCCTTTGGTCAGTCAATCTATCCCACAATGCTCTGCACTCAGGGAGAGGTCATCACGCTTACCGATGCAGAAACCGTCATTAAAATGGGCTAATACCGATAAGCTCCTCTCACAGATGAATTCTGTCATGTCAGAGGGTTGCCTCTGTTGACTGTTCCAGGATTTTATCTCCCTTAATCTTGTCACCTTGTCATCAAGGCTTGCTCCTAAAGTTCTCTCCAACTGTTTGCCAATTTAGCCAATATGAGAGATGGTGTCATTTTATCTTTGAGATTATGAAGGTTATGTAATCAATTCAAGAGATCTTTACCCTTTTTTGTCCCTTTTTTCAACCATTTTAAGGGTGCTTACAAATAACTATTAGAGCACAGTGTACCACCTCATCAAAATCATCAAAAGGTCAAAGATTAAGGATCAAATTAAGAGATTACTGTACATCAACTGAAACCGTGAGCTACTATTTCTGCTTTAGAATGAAAACAATACTAGATCCTTGCATTAATTACCAATCAATCATCAAGTTAATTACATCAGTATGGGGAACAACTGGTTTGACCTGACAATGAAAGCTGTAAACAGTGCGTGTTTTTATTGTATTTTTATTAAGGTCTGTTCAGAAAATTGGGTCTGATTTAATTCCAGCTCTGTGTCCTGGGATGCGCTGTGACTCCAGCACCACGGAGAGCAACCTGCTAGAAACCCACAAGATGTGGGAGAGGGGCTCCATCTGTAGAAGAGGCAGAGGTGGTCACACATACACACACACATGCACACAAAACATCTGCATACGCACACAGACTGCATAAAAACAGACCAGCTGAACTTGCTGAACTCTTCTTTCATTAATTATCACTCCTCTGGTCACAAAGAACACTCTCTAATGTGTCTGTCACATAATTTTCATCTACTGCGGAGTCTGTGAATGTAAAGTAGTTGACCACAGGCTTAATTAAAAAGCTATAAAAATAAAAGAAAAATGCTTGAGAGTAACACCATTACAAGCTAACATCATTATAGGCTACACTTATATTCGTTTCCAAATTTGGCTTTGAAATGTTTCGTAGGCCTACTGTTATTGATACCTTTGCCTACATAAGCTGTTTTTTAATCAATGATGTTAGCTAGCCTACTAATATGAAAGAAATAGTCTAGCCTTCATCATGGCCAGAGTACGCATATTTAACATGTTTCATACAATTGCCTTTACTCCAGACGCTGTTACCAGGTTACTGTTTTGAAGCGTTTCTTACAGATAATGGCATAACGATCATTGCTTTGTCTTACCGAATGGTATTAGTTCACACACAAGCCATGCCAAAGGTATGCTGTCCATGATTCACACACAGCGGACACTAAATAACAATTCTAAACTGAATTAAGCATGCACTCGTCTTGGAGGAGAAGTTCTCAACCACCTATTTTTTATCCAGTTGTATTTAGCTTCAAATTTTATTTTTAGCTCTAAAAAAATTACCAAGGTCCGGACCTTGATGACCTCATAGCTGGTTACAGGCATGAAAACAGCTTGTGTGTTTGGTGATATTTGTTGAGCTCTGTTTGAAACATTGCATTTGAAATTACCTACCACTTCAGAAAAAAGCAACTCCGTTTACACTCGCTCCCCCTCTGTAGCTAGCTAGATGCTGACGATAAGTACCGCGACCGCAAGTTTATCGATATCTGCACGCATGAACCCACTAAAGTGAAGGGATGAGAACGGAAAAAGGATGTGTGTTGAGTGTGGGGGCGGGGCCGTGGGGTGACATTACTTTCTGTTGTTAAGTGAGTATCTCGATGGCATCAGATGAAAGGAACACCAGGCTGGAGCACACGAAAAATGACATTATTATGTATGAAACTGCCAATCAGATTTATTTACTTATTAATCGAAGGTGCCGGAACGCCGTTCCGGATCGTCCCGGATCATTCCGGCCCACTATAACCCCTGGTTGTACCACACTTCAGCACAGGAGACAGTCCCACTGTGCCAAAATTCACTACAGGAGACAGTCCTGCTGTACCACACTTCTCTACAGGAGACAATCTTAGTATACCACAATTCTCTACAGGAGATAGTCCTACTGTACCACATTTCAGTGTAAGACACTGTGCTGTTGTTCCACTAGAGAATATAGGATCTGTAGAAATACAACATATCCTTTCAAAATGTCCTGTAAATGAGAACAACTCATTTATTAATGCTAGGTTTTATATTGTTCTTTTTTCCAAACATGTTGTGAGTAGAGGAAGTTTTTTAATTCCCTAACAAAGACATAAACAGCCAAGCACAAAATCATTATCAAATTATGGAGAATTATACATATATTATGGAGTTATAATCTACTGTCGTTGGAGGTATTTTTGGATCAGCTCTCAGACATAAGACACAGGTTGTGTTTAAAGAAATTGTAAGAAAAACCCCCAGTGTGGTTCATGGTTGTGTTTATTTAGCACTCTGTGGTACACATTGTTACTTTTATTTATTTATTTTTCTGAAGGATGAAATCTGTTTTGAGTGCTACCCTTGAGTTTTACCTCATAGCTCAAGAACAGACACTTCTAAACTGCCTGGTCCTATTTTGTTGACATGTTGACAGTAATCTTGGATCAATTCGTGCAATTGTTAATTTGAACGTCAACCTTGCCTACATAAACATTAAATCCATGCTTACTACAGTATGACTGAACCCACAAGACAGCTACCTGAGATGTTGAGTGCTTTTAAACATGTTCTGAGAGGAAAAAGAGGAAATCGCAGTTGTGGGTAAACATTAATAAATGAATGGATTCCCTTAAAACAATTGTTGGCTTCCCAGCATCCCCACGCCTGCGGGGTTTACCCCTGGCCCATCGCCTTGTTGGAGTGGTTTCCTCGCCCATTTCCCCAAGGGCAGGGCCTGCCCAGATCTGCAGATTGTTCTAATGGAGTGAGACATATAATAAATGGACGGATTATGCCACATCAAAGCAAGCAGGGCATCTGCGAGTCGTCAGATCCCAGCAGGCCGAGGAAAGGGGCCTGGAGGCTCTCTGTTTTACACAGGGGAGTACACTCCCTGCCCCCCCAGCAGCGGACCCCATTCTACCCCCAACGCAGTGTGCGGCCACCCCTCTGGTCTTCATGCCCCCCCAGGTCGTCCCGCCCAGCCACCAGCCAGGGAGCTCGGCTCTCGGGGGGGTATTACTACATCGGAACAGAATGTTATGTTAAAAACTGCCTGAGTAGCCATGGCGACCCGCCGACGTGACTTGACTGCCAGCCTCCTCAGAAAACGCCTCTGTCTGAGGTTGGCAGGGAAGCTGAGGAGCATGAATGAGAGTCACAAGGACCTCACATCTCAAAGGCAGTCATTCAATTCAATCTTCAAAGTGACTTTTTCTTGCATTTCTTTTCTGATCACAGTAGAGGAAAAAAATGGCCATAGAGTGCCAGGCCAAGACAACAGGTCTAATGCAACTAACAGCCATTCTCACCCCCCCACACTTGCACACTGCAGTGATCAGATATGGATTACCTGCCCAGATATGGATTGCCATCTAATGTAATGGATTAATGTAGCTGTTCCTACTGAGGCATCTGATATTGCAGGGCCTCATAACACTAATAACCCATTACCCATTTCTTACATGCTTTCTCAACTCTCTCACTTTAAGAAAGTTTGGGTGTCATAGCATCTGTGCTAAATATAGCGCTCTTTTTTAAGTGGGACAGCCTCTGGTGCATTTGTGCCAACGCTAATGGGGAACGGGGATCACAAATGATTGCTCTGCTGTTCTAGAGGGAGTTTAATGAGCAAACAGACGCGGTCCCGCTCATGGCCAATGCTCTGATGCGAGTGGCCAAGTCCGGTTTTAAAATGGCAGAATCTGGCATCTTAGAGATGAGGTTATGCTTTCATTCATTTGGTGGTGTTTTTTGGAGCTGTCTGCCTCTATCAGCTATGCTTGTTCACTCTAATTGGGTG